TAAAATCATTCTTGTAAAAGAATAAAATTTAAAATTGTAAAATTATTATTAAAAGTTTCTTAATTTATGAAAGATTTTAAAAAACACCAGAAATTTTTTTTTCTTATTAATCTTGAGAGAATATTATATGATATTCGATATAATTAGCGTTCGAGCGCGTTCGTGATCTTAACGATCGATAGGATAGCTCAAGACAAAGATAGACAAGGATTCTACGCGGAAGTCATTTCGTACAGGTCGAGAGAAGTCTATAACGTCTTCCCTGTTCTTTTTTCTTTCTTTCTTTCATGGGTCACTCCTCCTTTTTCTCGATAGCAGTAGTCGGCCGTTGTCTCTCCGGCTCGCCTTTCACGGATGCTTACCGTTATACGCTCTCGCATTATTATCGTAATCATAGCGCAGTCCGACGCCCCAAGGAGCATGGCCTATATTTTCTCTCAATGTATAATCAATGATGCTTATTATTTCCCTTTTCTTCCCTCCTTCCTACCGTAATTATCTCTCTTTCTGCCTTTCAATTTTTTGTAATCCTTCGCAGTGAACTCCGCTCATATTATTTAAAATTTATACAAATCATTTAATATTTATTTAAAATGATGGAATGAAATAATTTATTTGATAAAGATATATATATATATATATATATTATTTAATGATAACACAGAGAGAGATTTTAGCAATATGATCTTTTATCTTTATTCCAGATTTTGAGTCCCGCGGTTAATAAAATATAAAAATCATTATTTATTATTTATTATTAATATAAAAATTAATAGGACATTAAAATATGAATTTTGGAATTTATGCTTTCTCGATCTTATAGATTTATAAAAAACTGTAATTTATATTATAAATTTAAAATGGACATAAAATAAACAAACCGAAGAAAACTCGGGAGAGAGCCTGCCTTTCCGTGCGACGTTCAATGCGTTTGTTGCACGCAAGTCTCTTGCATCCCTCTACCTTCTGCTTCTTTTTAGTCTTTCCGCATTTGTCTCTCCTCATTGGCTTGCAGCACGGCGTATCTCTCCGCCGCCTTCGAAGGAAGAAAAACCTGACCTATCGTACGCTAGCCTCCTCTCTCTCTTCTGCGATCTCTAACACCGGTCTAACGCCGCCCTGGAGTCAATCCTTTCACTGCCACGCGAGCGGCAACTTAACGATGTCATTTCGGGCCAACGACCGCCTGTGCGGTTCGGGCTTTGATCAAACGTGACGCGTTTGAGCGAATATAATAGAGAATGCGCTTACAATTGTGAAAATTTTTAAAATGTCCATCGAAAGCACACACTTTGCCTAGAACAAAATTCGAAGTCGATGATCGATCGCAAAATATTCCCAAACGAAGAAGAAAAATCAACGATAATGGGGGAAGAGGCAAAAATGCAGGATTAAATTTATTAGCGCGAATCATCAGCTGTCTTCTTATTTATATATAAAATATGTAATATATATGTATGTATAGTTTTCTTTCTATCCTCTTTAATCGTGTGCGGGAGTATGCTTCTGGAATTATAAACCGGTTTTGTTTCCGAAGCCGTATCTGTAGACGGAAATGCTAATAATTCAGCTGGCAATCTCTTCCGCGAAAAAAATGCGCTACGAGCACAGAAACAGGATTCGCAAAGTTATCGCGAATCTCGTGCTTGAATATTTTCTCCGTCCTTATCATTATACATACCGCCTGTTGTGCATCTTTTTTTTCTCGTTGTGATGAGGTAGCATCTTCATCAAGGAGAGGAACCTGACCTAGATCATTTCAGACTCTCTCTTTTTTCTCCCTGCTCCCGTTTCAAATTCTTCGTATAATTCGTCGCATATTTATTTTTCTCTTGTTTCTTTTTGTACATAGTTTTTCATCAATTTCAACAAGCAATATTGAATTTCGTAAAAAAATATTTTGACAAATTTTACAAAAGATCGAATAATACTTGTTGTATTTAGTAAAGGAAAATTTTTGATGAATGTAATCAAAAGAAACTGTGATAGAGAGGGATTGAAAAAATATGTACATTTTAATAATTTTATAATAATGCTAACAAATAAAAAACTGCTAAAATGATGAAAAATTTTCAAATTTTCTTTTCACATTCGAGTAGTGAAACATTAGAACAAGTTTCGAGAAATTAATGCAGCATTCAAATCGACTTGAAACGGAGATCGTAATGTCAATTTCACAATCGAATACATCTAGTTGTAACTCTGAATGATGCAACTCAAAGTTACGATAGCTCCATAATAAATACCCATTCGCGAAAGAATAATTCATGTTATAAACAGCGTAATGACAGTTATACCGTTATAAATAATTTTAAGATTAAGAAAAACAAATGATTACATTAACCATACAAATGATTAGGTAAGAAATAATTTTAATTTTACTTACAATGTTTTTTTTCCGTTACAAAACACTTTTTATCACAATAGCGTGACCGAAACGGGACTTAAAACGGGCTCTAGGCGTCTTTTCACTTTAGAGACCCCCCAATCCTCTTTCGTCTGACACGAATTCGCTTGTATTTTGACGTGTACTTTTATCTGCTGCACATGTAGAGACAATCTTTGCATGATACCGCTCGTGATCAATCACGGGCGGCGACGGGCACATCTGACATGCATACGACGACAGTTACACGTGTCAGAATTACCTCTTGTCCTCTTTGCCAAAAGCTGCGGCGCGAAGAGATGAGCTGCGTGGGCATAAATCTCGCACGAGCAATTTACTCGGAAGAATATAACGAGACGCTCGGGAGACACCGCCGGGTTTCCCGTATTCTTTCTCTTCCCTTTTTCTTCTTCCATCTTGTTTTATTTTTATATCCTAATATTCATTACATGCGTAATTGAAATAACGCGCGATGTAAATGTTGTTTCCTCAAAATATCATTTAATCACGTTCTTCCTCCTTCCCTTTTATCTTTCTTTCCATTCGCTTTCGTTGGTAATTCTATGGTTAGCCGGATAATAGTTACGTAACCGTAAAGTCCCGCGCTCTCTTCCGCGCGGTGCAAACCAGCTAATCGTCAAATATTTGCTGAGCCGTATTGCAACGTTTCTCGTCGCTATCTCACACTGCGCCTCTTACACACGCTCATCCCGCCTCTTGTCTTATCCGTCTGTTTGTGTACGCGTGACGATTGCTTGCGTAGCAGCATCGGCATCGTCATCGCACGATTAAGTACGACGACGACCACGGCCAACAGAATTTTCTCGAGGAGTCCCTGACCATCCTTCTTCTCGCCGGTACAAGCTTTGAGAGAAACGTGCGAAATATTGTCGGATAGAAATTTTTTTTTAATTACTAGAAATAAAAAAATAAATAATATGCGTATGTAATTATGTAATTATTATCATGATTTATTTTAATTATGATGTATCTTAAAATTAAAATGTGAGTACGCGATTCCACGTCGGAATAGTTGCTCTAACTCTGGAATGAAGATGGATCGCCGATATCATTTTGTTTTATTCAATAGCGATATTATTTCCCATAAAAGTTCGAAATGTACATTTGCGATATGCAAATTGACAGCAACGCATAATTTTATTAATTAAGCGAGACAATTTATCGATCCTGACCTAATAATTTCAACGGTATTTAATTGATATTTCTCTTAGTTCCTTGTCAAAAATAAACTAACCGTTTTACCTTTATTCCATATGCATGGAATATTCAGGTAAAAACATTCAGTACTTTTGCATATATCTACACGTAATGTGCCGTTATTAATAGAAAATATATAACGCGATAGAAAACGACGTTTATGCTTCGGTTTTTGAAAATCGACAAGTCGTCGGTTCACGGTTGGCCGCTTATCGTACAGGTGCCGATAAGCGGATAAAGGTCAGAGAGTAAAATGACGTGGACGGTACCTCTCGCGATCGGAGACTGTCGAGTTAAATATAAAAGCATTGTGACACCGACTGTGCGTGAAATTGTTTAGACGCCGACGTGTACACGCATCTCTCGTTATGTACTGTTTTTCTATCGGCGTTGCTAATTTTATTTAATGACCGAAGTTCCGTGCAACATAACAGCTCAAAGTAACGCACGATATATATATAGGAGAGACACGGTATTGTATCGAAAAGAATTATTAATAAATTACTGTTAAAAAAAGAAATGACAGATATTTATAAAAGATGGCTATTATTTTTGATCTTGATAATTTCTTTTCACACATCGAATATTAGATTATCCCAGAGATTTAAACGAGAATATTAACCTGCAAATATTCTCTTCATAAAATACCGCGAGAGAGCGAAACACTTTTCGCGCGATGCGTCTCGTTGAAAAATATGAAACTCACTCAATACGCCTATGAATATTTACCGCCGGAAATCACTCGACAAACGCGACCTTCCCAGTCTTCTCCGTTGCAGGCAAATAATGGCGACTCTACGATAAGAGCTGTAAAATCGTGGCGTTTCCTGCGAAACGCACGGTGCTGTAAAAATCATCCCGACGTACAATAAATTGCTTTCGCGATTCCCGGCGACGTGGCGTAAGAAAGTTTCCTGCTGAATTTGGCGAGAGGGAGACTCGACAGGCAAGACGAGTCCGCTGGAAAATATCTCGCGACTGTTTTTCGCGCACGGCAACTCGTATATACGCTTATACTTTGCTCAAAATGTTCCCGTGAGAATATCAACGTGGTCGTCGGTCGATCCTTAACCGTGAGCATATGTGAACTCGCCGACCATATCGGCCAATTATCACACCGACGCGATGGTCGTTATAATCATCGAGAACATAACCGGCGATTGTTGCCATTGGCCATTCGGTACTCGATGACCGCGTTGATACGTCGAGTAACTGTTACTCTCCTGGATCAGCAAAGGAGAATAATTTCGGGAATATTAAATTAATCGCCGGCATCTCGAGCCAGCCTTCTCGGAGGGGGACGTAATAATCTTTCGTAAAGATTAGAGCTGTTTACAATCGATTGTCTCTAGGAAGTTTTGGAGATAAATCATAATCGATCGTTTTTTTGTTGCAGGACAGCGAACATCTGATCGCGCTCGCGCGCCTGTCAGACTATAACGTCTACAGAATACCGAACGCCAAGCGAGTTTTCGGCGCACCCTTCGAGTGGGGCGTCTGCCTGAGGCCGAACAGTAACGCCGAGACCGAGGACACGGAGGCTGGAGAGCCCGGGATCAAGGTCATTGCTTTCGAAAACGAAAAATCACGCGCTTGCTGGCTCACAGCCATGAGACTCGCTAAGGTAAGCGACACTATTTCTCATTCCCGTCTCGTTGAATCGGCGTTTTTTACTCGAAAATAATACGATTCGAGTGCATCGCAACTTTGGAGCATTCGGACGTTTAAATCTAATTTTCTTACATCAAGTACATCTTTTTCAATCTGTTTGAATCACAAGCATTTCCACTTTTATACTCGTGTAAAAGTTTGAGAATTAAAAGTCAATCACTTGAAAGGGACGACCCAGGATGATCACCCACACACAAATACATATGGCTTTGATCGATAATTATTTTAATTTGAAAGCAAGCTAATATTAATTGTAAAAATGAATATTTAACTTCGCGGCGAGGATAATCGCGCTTACAAATATCATTACGATCCTCGCTTCTCAGCTGACTCTGCGCCCGATCGACTCGACTCTTCCACTACAATGTGATCATCCCTCCGCGGACGAGGTATTATTAGCTCCACGATGGAGAGCCAGGTATAATGAGCCTTATTTTCTTTCCTTTCCTTCTCCTTTCTCCATCCGCCGACTCGAACGTCGAAACTTCTTCGTGAAGCTTAAAGAAGTTGCGTGACGTTCGTGTTTAGCCGAGAGAGAGATTGAGAAGAAGAGAAGAGAAACATTTTACTCTGTCGACGTGCGTACATACTATATGCCACACAGGCTCGGCACGTTTTGCGTGGCGAAATTTTTTTCCTTGGTCTCTTTTTAGAGTAGCCATGCCACTGACACCGTACACTTTCTTTCTTCGTTATTTTTTTTCACGAGGATCGAGCTCGTGAGACACGGGGGCTCTCGTTTCCCATCGTCGTCGATAATATCGGTTTATTCTCGAGCGCAGACAGCCTTTGTTCTCTCTCTTTCTCTCTCTTCTTCTCTATTCTCTTCTCTTTCAGTCGAGCCAAGTGCTCGCCAGTGGAAGAGAGAGTGACTCGGGTTAGTAACGGTTTTCGGTGGTAACGCACGATCGGAAGTTCCACCAATGAGAGAGAGAGAGACAGAGACTCGAGACTCTAGACTCTAGACGGCTGCCTATTCTACGTTACGTTACTCTTTAGAGTCTATTCTTCTTCAAGTGCCTGCTTAGACCATCTCTGGTCTAAACCCGACTGGTCCTCAGGAGATGCGACGCGATATAATCGTTATATCGTTCATTATTGCGTATCGTTAAGGATAAAAAAGATTTACGTATAATTATAATTATAATCTCATGATAATTATTTAGATTGTATATTTATATTGAGAATTTAACTTTTAAATTTAATGGCTTTTTTTAACGCACGCAATCTGAATAATTTTTACTCTTTACTCTTTAGAGTCTATTCTTCTTCAAGTGCCTGCTTAGACCATCTCTGGTCTAAACCCGACTGGTCTTCAGGAGATGCGACGCGATATTATCATCGCTATATCGTTCATTATTGCGTATCGTTAAGGATAAAAAAGATTTACATATAATTATAATCTCATGATAATTATTTATATTGTATATTTATATTGAGAATTTAACTTTTAAATTTAATGGCTTTTTTTTAACACACGCAATCTGAATAATTTTATTAAATTTACAAATGCTGTATCTCCCTGACAAGGATTTCTTTCATCATAATTATAACTTGCTTCCATTCCGAATAACACTTGTCGGGTTGGGATAGTAATCTAATCTGCCGCGGGACGTAATTTGCGAGCCCCTTGCACCGAAGGATCATAAGCCAGTTTCCCTTGATGCATCCTCGAGGGTCTCCCAAGCCATACGTCTATACCGTAGCCGCTGGCGGATAGGCAGACTTGCCTAGTGTTTATCTGCCTCGTTGGCTGTCTGAATCTTCTAGTCGACCTATCCTGCTTCGGATTTACTATGCGTGCGCTATTTTTTCTCTCTCTCTGACAGTCCGCCGTTGTCTGTCTTTTATCCAAAGGAAAAAGGACGAGATGACGTTGTTTTGGTTGGTAACTGTGGCGCTCTAGGTAGTACTTACGCGTGTCTCAGCGCGAGAGGCCTTTGTAACTCTTTCATCCGAGAAAAAGCTAGGAGTGTGATGAGATGCGGCGAACAAGAAACATTGTGGAAGACAGAAAGGAGAGAGAACAAGAGGGGAGAGAGCAAATGAACGGGTGTAGGCCCTCGGAGAAACCTACAGGACTCGCTTTGATCGAGAAGACATTGACACTCGTGCCTATCCCCTTTGTACTCCCTTTGTTTCTCTACCGTCGACTATCGTTCCCCTTCGTTCCTTTTTCTTCGTCGCATTTCAATCTTCCCGGACTTCGATTCACTTTACTGAAAATCTAATGAGGTCTAAATATAGCGTACGTAAAATCGTTTTTGTCGATTCGCGAGGATCGTACTTCTCGACGAAAGATGTATTTTTCGTACAAAGAAAAATATTAATAAAATTTAGATATTATTTGTAATTTGTAAAAATTCATCACACATGATAAATATCAAAATAGAAATGAAAATTAATGTCTATTAATATATGAAAGTAACGGAATGATCTCGTATGATCAGTTTGATTAATTCAGGATCAGATTTCTTGCGAGATGAGGATATTGATCGCGAAAACAGCAGATACCGTTTGTTGTCAAGCATTAATAAAATATTGTTACTTGACATCATAACTCTATCTTTTTGTCCGTCATGCATAAAGCGATAATGAGAAAGCGAATAGAATAGATCGCAAAGCGATAAACGCCTCGGATAAAATTAAACCATAAATATCGGATCGCTTTCTATTCGATCGTAATTCTATCCTTCTGAAGTTTCTTCCTAGGAGAAACAGGGATCTGAGAATTATAATTATCTCTCGCAGACGTACAACACACATATATACAAGAAAGAATATATTGCACTAACTTGCACTGCCTTTAAATTACAGGGGAAATATGTCAACTTTTTGGCTATAATCATTTTTGGCTCCACGTCACAGAGATGTAATCATACGATATCCAAGGATTCGACGCGGCATTATCCTTCGTTTACTTAGAGACTCGGCACTTCGTTATCGTTCTTCGTTTTCCTATCGCTGATTAGTGTTAGCATACATTCGTGCTTTACCGCTTTCCATGTTGGCAGATTTCCCCGTCTACGTTTGTGAATAATTGAATTATGTAATTATCTCTCCAAATGCGCGCTCTTGCCGGCTCCAGGGTCGTCTTCAATTAGTCGCCGCCGCCCTTCGTCTTCGCATTCATCTCGATCGCGCTCCTTAAAATGTGCTCGTCAAAATGTGGAAACGACGAATTCGGACTTTGTTTAATTTATCTTGCTTTTCGAGCGAGACGTACACGACGAAATTGATTGTGTACAAATATATGAATATATAAATATCATATTTTTAAATTAAGATTATTTACTGATATGTATACGTCAAATTTTTATTTTAATAAAAATTTTAATATCTCGAGAGAGAAATGAGTGAGTATTTCTTTGTAAATTCTTGTCTTGTATTAAAAGACTTTTAAAATTGTAAATCGACAGAATCATTATAAAATGCAAAATAAATTGAGAATTTGAAAAGTATGCATTACATAAACATAATAAAACGCAGATATCTCGAAATGGCGAGTCTATTTTTGCTGTTGCCAAGCGAGCCTTCGGCGATTGCAAAGCTCACCGGCATAATTTTCGTACCGCGATGCAAGCTGTACAGCCCGCATTGGTATATTAGCAACCTATACGTATGTATGGGTGCCATGCACGTCACGGGTGAGACTTGCGTGCACGAGTAGGTGTGCGCGTGTGCGTGTGCGTGAGCAGTCATTCGAGTGTAGATGCGCCCGGCTGTCTTGTGGGTCGATACGATGGCTATACCACTGCTGCTGGGTCCATGGTTATGCACACGTTTACGTAGCATCGTCTGCTCCTCTCGTCTTGTTTCGTCTCGTCTCGTCTCGTCTCATCTTGTCTCTCATATTCACATCTTTTTCGTCGTATGTGAGTCACAATCTGCACGAATATCGTTGAAATACATGTTATCTTTTCAAAAATGCTTTATTTTTTTTGGTAAAGTTCTCGAAGTAGATTTTTCGTTGAAAATTTGATTAGTGATATTTTCTTGATATCAAAAGTTGGACCTAAGAAATGATATTTTTTTCTGTATTTTTTATTATACAGAGGCTGTTTTTCTGTTTTATTACATTTAGAATAAATATAATTTTTGTGAATGGATGGGACTCTTTTTCTCAATTGAACAAAGAAGTAAACTCCGCTCACATAACAGCTTTACTGCAAGAAGTGATTATACCTCGATATATATGTCGCAGTATTATAAATTTAGAAGAATTTGCATTATCCTTGACTCAATTACGAAACTTTATCGCTATTTCTCAAGTAGATACTTCTCAATGAAAAAGATTGTTCGTATCGATTGAATATTTTTTCTGCACTAGCAAGTTGCTTACGAGGAATGAGATTACATTTCGCTCGAGCTGAAAATATCTAATCTTTGTTGCTCAAAAAGTGTGAAGAGCATCAAGTGCATACATATATATACAATCATCAAGATATTATTCTTATTTCAATATTACTGAATCATAATTACATTTCGTTCACAGAAATAAACTGTACGTAACGAAAATTAGTATATAATAATATATAATAATTTCTAATGAAAATTGTGTGTGTGATATATTGATAAGGGATTAAAATAATGAAAAAGATATTGAAAACCGAAGGGATACTTTCGAATTTTCTGCCCGCGCAGAAACATTGAATTTATCTAGGCAAGGCGATGTATCGATCGGAGGTCAGCCTCGGCACAACCGGGCAAGTCGACAGACCGGCCGGCCGGCGACAAAGTAACGCGTGTAGAATTATGTAAATCGCGAATGCAATATCTTTTTTTTTCTTGCTGTTGGTTTTATCGGCCTCGAGTGCTCCGCGATGTGCCCGAGGCGTAGAATCAGTTATGCGCGCGCGTGCATGCGTTTGTTCGTCGCGTGCGTGCATCTCGTCAATTGTAGCGCGCGCTGTTAACGGTGTCTGCTCTGCTTTGCGTTGTTCCAGTACGGCAAACAGCTCCGAGAGAATTACCGAGCCTTCAAGAACAAGCAGTGCGAGCAGAACGGCAGTGGCAGCCCCAAAGAACAATACAGCAGCTACAATGTGTCCAATGTAAGTGCTATATATATATATGATTTCGAGCGCTAAGAAATATAAAGATTTAAAAGCGAATTGAGAAGAGCTGGAAAAAAATCGAGATCAGAAAATTCAAAAGAATTTATTCAGTTAAATAGAGAGACTACTTACTTCCTACAAAAACATGACGGATCTAGAATTCTGAGTGATTTTTTTATAACTGGAAATACCAGGGATTTTTCATGGAATTTAGGAAAAAATTATCTCTTTAATAATTTTATTTTCATATTGTAATCAGTCGGCAAACCAACTGAATTATGCATGTGTATTTAAAATGTATAAATATTTATCTTTGTGTTCATATATATTTTGACACATTATAGAATGTGCAGTTCATATTTATACAATTCTGAGTCATCAAAAATGAAAAATGTTACGATGAAAAATCTTTATTTTAAAAAATAAACGCTATTCAGTTTTTTAAGTGAATTTTCAAACCTAATACTTGAAACTTAAATGGCTCTTTATGCCATTTTTCCTTTATAATCCTTTATAATTCCTAAATAAGTGAAAAATGCACACAATAAAAAACTTATTTTAAAAAATTGCATCTTTAAAAATCTCTGAAATAATTCTCTGGAATTTTGAAAACCTGGAAGATCGAGGAATATTTTTATAAAATTCAAGTAGGCACCTTGTTAAATTTTTTGTGAATTAAGTCTTTATATCGTTCTTAGCACTTTAAATAAATCTAAATTCAGTATAGGATTTCAACACTGATTTAACATTACAAATTTGACGTAATAGTTGCGGACTAAATTCGAAAAGAGAGAGAACAGAACACATAAGAAAAAGTTTACATATAATTCGTTACAATGTAAGCATATGAGTAAAATAATGAAGCCGAGTGTCTCGTGGCGAGAATTATTTCTGCGCGCGATGTATTTTTGATGGGCCACTCTCTACCCTTGGATATGCTCGAAAGGTAAATTTCGCTTTAGACGTGGTAAATGGAATGGAAGAGGCGATTACGTTGAAATTACCTCGAGTGACAGTAATTTGCCGGGTCACGCCACGTTCGATCATTGCCTTCAGTCATCCCTTTTCCTGCACGAGCCATCGTCTCTCGTCGAACTTTCATAGCGTCTACGGGATCTTGATTAACTCGTGCAATCCCGAGCTTTTCAACGCTTTTTCTCGATTAACACCTCCTTGCCTTTCATTGCTTCCTCTCTTATTCAACTTTTAATTGTTTTCATTATTACTTCAATGCATTCGTTATATTATTTATTAATTATACATATATATGCAAATTTGCTCGTGAAGAGATAATTTTGACAAAGAATTTTATATATATTTAATTATATATGTGTATAATTTTTTATCGAAAAATTATTTCCTTTTACAAGCGAAATAAATAGATTCGTTTATGAATTTATATTAATATTCCAGTAAATAACGCAGACAAATTACATTATTGTTCTCCATGGTCGTGCGCATTTATCGATTCTCTAATTGAGGTATGAAATATAAGGAAATTCATTGCTAATGAATAAACGACCAGTAACGTGAAAACACCGGCCGATGTAACGTTTGAATGACGATGCTGTTAGCATTACATAATTTTAGCAAATAGCTCATTAGTTATTGATCTTTAATGCGAAATTCTGCGCGAAATATGCGAGAATTGTTGAGCCACTCCCACTCGAGATTCTATTCGCTTGTGTGCGTTCGTTACTTCGAGTGTACAAGTGCATAATTCTCTGTTGCTAGCTCTCTCATGTGTTTTATTTATACAATGGTTAAACTATGGCAACGCAAATTATATTGCCGCGATTAATACATATCATATATCGTCCATTTTATTGCTACCGCGATAATAAATTCGCCGATTCATAATCGATTCTCTCGTACGCAATTGCTCGCTAAAGAGAAAAAACAAATTAATTTTTTAGGTTTTTAGCTAGTTGAATATTTATAATCGATTATTGCATTTTATTTGACTTGTTAATTGTTTTAGTGTAATTAATATTTATATAAAATCTGCCATGTGAGAGAAATAGTTATTAGAAACTCCAGAAAGCACAGGAGGCAAAACTATTTAGAGTTAATAGAATTTCATAATTGTATTTGTATTTATCTTAGCTACTGTAAATCGAAATGATTTTGAAGAATTTTCAGATTCATTATTGCCATTAAAATTTGCGAGACAGCTTAAACAATCAAATAAATTATATCAATGTTTCGCGTATCTGTTAAAATCATGGGTATTAATGAAACGTAATGTACTGATAATAATAAACTAAATATGAGAAACTCGATTAAAATAAAAAGAGACTTTATGCATGGAATGAGGGGAGGATTTCTCTTTATATATAATTGCTTTTATGAATAATTTTTGTCTCTCTTCGACGTTCGATAAAAATTAATAACTTAGCAGTGGATCCATTATCGGACACATTATCGTTAATTATCGAATATCTGTTATTTTGATATATTTTAATATATAAAATAAGTATCTCAAACAAGAGAATACTTTGCACGGAAAATAATTCGCTAATGGGAAGATTGTGACGCGTTGTCCAGTCGCACGGAATTTAAAAGAAAATGTTAAAGGAACACTGACTATCTTTCTTACGAGAGACGCGATCCGAGAAGCAAATTTTCTCGGAAAAGTACCGTCATAACTTACGCAAAGAATGCCAAGAAGGATCTATCCCCATCGAATCTCACTGACCTCATTGTCGTGCCATCCCCGACTTCGTTGAGATAGGCTTTTCTCTCTCTCTTTCTTTCTCTTTCCATCTCTTTACGATATTCTTCGCGTCTTCCTACGCGCTAAGACGTCGGCGCGTCTCACCCGGTAGGAAATTTCATCCTCGTATCGCACAGCTGATTCCAAGGTCGTGCCAGCCAGCCAGAGAGGGACGACAACCCTTCGTCGGTGTGTACTCTCGAAGCTAGACACGTACCAATCTACCACTCCCCCGTTTACTCTTTCATCGACTGACTTATTTCCTTTTTTATCTCTTTTTTTTCTCGTCGGAGAGATGAAGGTGTAGCTTGTTCTCATTATAATTTCCATAGCCGGCTTTCTCGGAGAAATATAACGCCTTATCGTTAAACCGCGGGAATTGCATCATCCAGAATTGCATGAATAATAAAAGTGATTCGAGATAAACTCTAACAATTATTAAAATATACTTTCTCTTAAACTCCACGACAAGGAAAAAAATGAAATGTTATATTAAAAGCAAAGTGAAATTTTCCGTAAATGAAATTTTTTAAAAAGTTTAGAGAGATCTGTAAAAAGTTACAATTTTACAGTGTCTAGCATTAAATATTTATTTTTGACATTTTTATTTTTCTTGTAACAAACTGAGATACAAACTATTTTTGAGTACATAATGCGCTTATATCATTTTGTATGAATATTGATAATTTTTTATAGGCAAATTTTTTCTTATTTCTATATCCAATTTATCAAAGTATTTTAATCTTGTAATAAATATATAGAACGTACTTTTTGTCCACATTTCTTGTTTTTTGTAAAGCACGTGACAGTTATAATAATAAAATATTCGCAATCTCCAAGGAAGGAAGGAAATATCGATTAGGCGAAGCGGGCGTGAGACATATATTGTCGAGCCATTTCGAAGAACTGGTTTTGAAGGAGCGATCTTAACAAGCTTCCGGCAATAAATTACAGTTCGTGCTGGTTATGAATTATCTACTCGAAGTAGCACGGAGGAGCACGACAATTAAAGCCTAGAATGGAAAATAACCGGTATTACGCGCTTAATGCGCGAAAGTGCAAGAAAAAAGATAATTGGTTTGTAAAATAACGTAATTGAAAGGGGCATGATTTGACATGGTTAACGACAGTCTCTAGTAATAACAAGAAATATTAATTATATTGTTTATAAAGATATTTAGATGATATTGAGATAATTATAAAGAAAATTTGATTTCTCTAACAGTGACACTTTTAGTTATTAAATTATTTAACAATATTTGAGAATCTTTTCACAACTATAAAGGTCTTTGATATTTTGCTGGAGATACTGAAAATAGGGAGTGGAGATTGTGGGAAGACCCAAGAATAATCATTATAGGAAAAACAGACGATGAAGAGTGCACGTGGTGAAAAGCGAAGATGAAACTTCGAAGTCTCATGCATTGTACATTTTCGCGAAGGAGTAACATGAAAGAAAGCGTGAACGTGTCTCGCACTTCGTTTCGATTGAAAGCTTCGATCATGGATATCGTTCGTTCGTGTCCCGCTTTTATCTTTATTCGAAGGGAAACAAAAGTACGCCTCTTGCATCGTGTCGAGTCGACAGGGCAAACTTCGCATTTTCCGTCTTCCGCACTGTTTCTATTTTTCACGTTGTACGTAATTGCACATTCAAATGGATAAATTGAAACTCGAGAGTAAAGTTTCGTGCCAGTGTAGTTGCATGCGGATTCAATCTCCTGAATTTTAAGAGATCTATACCGGTGATGGAAAGATAAAATAGAAAAATACTTGAAACGCATGATATAAAAATATTGACAAAAATTTATATATTGAGAAAAAATATAGATATTATAGACGTAAAAATAATATAATTTGTAAAATAAATATTTTTCTATATAAATATTTCTCAATAAAATTTATTTTCAAAAACGCGTAATTAAAATTAATATTTTATATTGGTTTGCAATATTTTTTTTATCGCAAACTTTAATTTGGAAATTACGTTGATTGATACGACAGTATCGATTATTTGGTGTTATCGGCCAATCTATTCGCCATCATTATGTCATCTCGTCCAGCCAACTACTTAACGAGTGTCCATGGCGTTTAACCGATCGCTCGCGGTTGACGTGAAAGCGTAGTCGCGCTCTGCTTTTAGTCAGACATTATATTTCCCTTAATGGCGCGACAGCCGGCTTGGATACCGAAAATGTTGAGAGTATCCAACAATGACGTTCTTTTCCATTTTTTCACCGCGGCAAGGCTCGGCATTGTTACTCGGCCGTCGATTCCCTCG